ATTGCGGCGATTGTCGAGGACGATCATGGCAGTGATGCGATTGCGGCCGTGGGGGTAGTGAGGCCATGCGCGCGCACAGAAACTCATTACCTGGCAAGCGGTTTTTAGAAAAACACTTAATTGCGTGCTCTTGACGAGCTATATCGTTGACGCGCTTGGGAAGCCAACGATTTTGACAGACTTTCGACACGCGCGCGCGGCGTTGCGTGCACATGGCGGCCCATATGGGATGGTACGGATGATTTCAGCAAGTGCGCGCGGAGAGAGGGTTTGCCATATATTTTTGTTGGGAAACCCATGATCGCTTACGTGTTTATTTTGAAATACTGGCCACACCCATGTATCGTGCCTGGTCTCGACATGTGCGCGCTCGTGTGTTTGGACAGTGACAATGTAGGTTTGAAATCAAATGGGGCACGCGCATGGTTGCATTCGACAGGGACGACGGGGGGGGCGATACCGGCGTGTCTGGGATGGTATGCTTCAATTTGGACTATGAACGATGAGGGAACGCCAACTGTAAGTTGTATTCTCCCAGGGGGTTTGGCTCCGGAAGTGTGTAGAATCTATTCATTCTTCTCTGGAGAGCAACAGATCTGCGGCTCAAGTTGTGTGGTGTAAGTTGCATGGTTTAAGTTATGTTGTGCAAGCTATGTTGTGCAAGCAACGTAGTGCAAACTATGTGGCGAAAGGAAGGTACGCAGTGCATTCCACCTGTGGAACTTCGAACCCTCAGCTCCAGTGCTCGCGCAGGCATCCCGCCTTCCATCCTACAGCTCAACTCGCAAAAGCCATTCGGCCTCGCTTGCGGTTGCCGATTGGAACCTGTTGGCGCATCTCTGCGGCCCCACTGGCGCGATCCCGCTCACGCTCAGCTCGGTCAGCTGGTTTGGCACAGCTGATGCGGCCGCGAGGGCGCTTGCCATTGGGAACTTCCCAGCGCGTCTCCATGGCCGCGTTGGGGCGCGGGCACGTCAGTGTTGGTCGGTGACTCTGGCGGATTGGATACCATGATGACGTCGATAACGGCGACGACGTCATTGATGGTGACGATGACGGCGGCGGTGATGATCCTGACGCTTGTGATAGTAGTGATGACTGCGTTGATGATGACGATGATGATGATGACGATAACACTTGTGACGCTGACGACGATGATTGCGATTTCGCTGATGAAGATCAGCAAAGTGCGAGCCCCTAGAAACCACACATCCTGACATGACGTCGACGTGCGCGGGAACGTCCGCGTGTGGCCCGCATGGTATTATTTGAGAGAGTTTGTGGGCGTGCGGTGGTGGTTGAACGTTGCCGACATGCGTGCGAGCGGCCCAGATGGTCGGATTTGGCACCATGGTCAAAACAGTTTGGTCCTACATATTTCAACGAATGCGCGCGCAGGGGTACGACAATCGTTCGTTCAAAACGTGTCCATGGTGGATAGTTTTTCGGGTGGCCATATTTTGAAAAAAGGTCAAACCAACACATGATTGCTTGACTGGTTGTGACGTGCGCGTGCGGCGGCGCGCGTTGTGGACTTCGCACTTCGCAATGTGCTTATGCACGGGAGTATTGGAACAGATGTTTCGAGGTGAACGAGTGCGCGCGCATAGTTTGTTTGTCAGGGATACGGGGGTGGCGGTACTGGTTCGATTGCTTGCGATTCTTGTTGTATATGGAAAAAGCGATGGGGCAGAATTATGTTGTAGATGCAACGCCAAAGGGGGGGGGGAGAACGGTGAATTCGAGGCTCGAGGATTTGAAAAAAGGCGGCCGCGCAGCGCGCGAGGCGCCCCTGGGCGGCCACGCGCAGGCACCAGGCGACACTTCGCCTGACCCACCCAGCGCACGAGGCGCCCACGGGGTGCTCCCGGGCGGGCACCAAGCGAAACCCCGGCCGACGCACCCAACACATGGCGCCCACGGGCGGGCACCCCGCCAGGCCTCGGCGGGCCCAGCCAGCACGAGGCGTCCACCAACCCGACCATCATGCGAGCCTTCGGCCGAGTCGTAGCCAAGCGAAGCGAGAACACCTACGTGCGAGCATTGCTTAGGAATCCAAATTTGAGGGCGACTGATTTTCGAAACTCGAATTTCGCTGCGGCGCCGCGCAAGTTCGACGGCGAAATTTCGAGCAGCTACGAGGAGTGAGGCGAATTGTCTGCAGCATGTTGCTGTCGCCTGGCCGCCGCAGACAGTCTCGTTTTGAAAGCTTCAGACAACTACGATGATGAAGGGCGTTCCCTCCAATCTGATACTGGGTTCCCGCTTGAAGCGTCATCACATTTAACACCAAAAAAAGCGACATGGCACAAAAGTTACACTAACTGAGGGTGGCTCATGTTTCACATGGGGCTCCAGTTGCAGATTTCCGAAACTCGATGACCACAAGTGTACGCTTGTATCCGTTATCCTTACCGCGGGCGGATCCTTTTGCGAATTAGGGCTTTCGCTTGCCCCCTCCTCGGGCAGTAGGATTTTAGAGTGTGGACAGATTTCTCAAAGCGTCTGATAGGTCTTAGGATGCAGGGCAGCTCCGATTCAAAATGAAGCTGTCGCCAGAAGGGCGGGCCAATTAAGCGTTTGCCGTTCCAGGGAGCTTATCCGTAGTGGACACAGAAATGCCTACAGGGCGGGGCACTTCATTGCAGCATAGCTGCTGCATCTCAGGTTCATAGTGGCCCTCCTCCTCCGAGTCCACACCGTTTTCTGTATCCCCCTTCTTCTGCCATTCCTACTCTGCCTGTCCGTCTTCGCTCATTGCTGGGAATTTGCTCAACCTTCCTCGCCGCGGCTAGAGCTGGGGGATCTTTTTCAGATCTGTCAGGTGTGCGCGAACTGTAAACAAATACCGATGCCGCTAGGACGTTTGACGCCCCAGTGAGGGGCGTGTGCCTGAGGTCGAACCACGGTCACACGTGCCGGTACGCAGGCAGAGCGCCCGTGACATCGGCAACAGTACACGTGCAGACTCTTGGCGAGTGCGGCAGGACCTCGGGCAAAGCACGCAGGCCGCACCTTCCCCGAAGCCTGCTGTCGTGAACAGGACGCACGACGCCACACACCAATAGTGCCTGACCCCATCGACCCCATCTTCGCGCTGGCCGAAGATTCAGTCGATTTTCGCTATATTGGGTTGCTGTGGCCGTCTGTTTGGTGGGAGCGCGCTGAATTCGGCCAGCGGCCATTACTTCCCCCACCTCCTCATCCCCCGCTCCCCCGCTCTCGCGCGCGAGAGAGCCCGCGGGCGGAGGGACAGGGAAAGTGGCAGGTAGTTTCCGCAGGCCCTTTGGGCGGTCCTCCCGCCAGCTTCAGCCGCGGGTGGGCAGTCAGCTTCTACATCCGTTGACGAGGCTCTTTCTGTGTCGCCTCGGGTTATTGCGTTGGAGTAGAGTGGGCCAGAGAAACACAAAGTCGTAAACTTCGGACGCCTGCCGACAGCTCTTTCCACTAGCACCACCAGGGCCCCCTCCCTCCGTCGCCCACGCACACGCACAAACACACTCACACACGCACACGCACACGCACAAAAACACACAGACACACACACACACACAGACACGCACACATACACACAGACACACACACACACAAACAACACCCACCACCCACCCACCCACCCACCCACCCACCCACCCACCAACCCACCACCCACCCACCCACCCGCACACACGCACACACACACACACGCACGCACACACACACACACACACACACACACACACACACACACACACACACACACACACACACACACACACACACACACACACACACACACACACACACACACACACACACACACACACACACACACACACACACACACACACACACACACACACACACACACACACACACACACACACACGCACACACACACACACACATGGCGGCCACATATCGCGTCATCCTTCAGGAACGGATGCGGGAGGGGGGTCTGGCGCTGGCAGAAGTGCTCTGGCATGCCCGAGCACGCAAAACGCTTCCGTGGCCTGCACGCCCACCCGCACGTGCAAAAGCCGCCCGGTCGCTTCAATGAGCCCTCAGCGCTGGGCGAAGACTCACCCTGTGGACACCCTCCTCCTCGCTTCCCCTCCTCGCTCCCTCCTCCTCTCCTCCTCTCTCCTCCTCCTCCTCCTCCTCCTCTCCCTCTCCTCCTTTCTCCTCCTCCTCCTCCTCTCCTCCTCCTCCTCCTCCTCCTCCTCCTCCTCCTCACCCCCCCTTCCAACGCGGTCGCATGCATGAACACGCAAAGCGCTCCAGAGAGGGGCCCGTCTCCCACGGATCGAGGGGGGGTGGCCTCCCGGGATCGGCGGCAGCGGGCGGAGGGCCCTCGGAACGACAGTGGAGCGAGGGCTGGCTTGCCAGCGAAATCCTGGGCGTACCCAGAGTTTCGGCAGCTGTTCACGTGTCGGAGGTTGCTAAAGGTGCCCCTGGCCCAAGGTGCCCCCAGCTTTTCGCTCCACTTTTGGGGCGCGAGGGGCTCCACGATGGTGCGAAAAGCTGGGGGCACCTTCGGCCAGGGGCACCTTTAGCACTCCGCGATCAGGGGCGGGGGGATGCATCGACCCCCGATCGCCCCTCCATCGCCGATATCGGGTCAGATTGCGCCCCCCCCCCCCCCCAGGGAACGTGAGGTTTCGCTGCCGGGGGGCATATCACTGATCTGTCGGCGATGCATCGCCGATAGGTACGATCGAAATGAGTACGGAAAATAAGTGACATGGATAGCAGTTCCTGCCCATTTTGAACCGGACTGGCGATCAGCCTCGCCGAGGACGTTGTCTTTGTGAAAACGAAGGCCGCCTGCCCAACAGCGGCCGCTGTTCGTTTTGGACTACAATCGCTACTAGGCATCGTGCCCATTTCTCCGCACCGATTTCGGGCGCCCAGAGCCGATTCCAGCTCGATGTTCCCCCCCCGAACCCGTCCCCTCCTCACCGTAGCTGTGTCGATACGCCCGTTTTGAAACGCAACACGTATTGTGCTCAAAACGTCCGCGTCAATATCCGTAGCCACTTTGGCTCAAGCCGTTTTGGCTCCAGGCGTCGCGATTGGCATCGAAGGGACAAGAAGGGGGTCTGGGAGCGCGTGTCATGCCCGCGGCGGCCAATGGCATCCCCCCCGCCAGCGGCTGCGACAGCCTGCCGCTCTCCAGGCTGTTCCTGGTGGGCCAAAGGCTGGGCGACGGGGCCTTCGGCGTGGTGCACAGCTGCACCAGGCTGTGCGACGGAGAGGAGCTCGCGGTCAAGCTGATCAACGTCGGCATCAGCAAGCCCGCGGACGTGTGGAGGGAAGCCCAGATGCTCGAGAGCCTGGCCCATCCGAACATCGTGAGGTTCCACGGCCTCTTCCCCGAGGGCGCCCATATGTGCATCATAATGGAAAAGCTGTCTGGGGGCGACCTGGTCGATGGGCTCCAGACGTACCTTGACAAGTGGGGCGGCAACATCGAGGGCCAGAACATCGTCAGCGCGGTGAGGCAGATGGCGAGTTCAATCCAGTACCTGCACCACAGATTGGTGGTGCATCGGGACGTCAAAGGTGACAACTTCCTGATGGACCGCCCTGACATACTTGACCCGGAGTGCAGGATCGTACTCACAGACTTTGGATCAGCGTGCCGACTGGAAAGGCCTGGCGAGCGGCTCAGCACCGAGGTGGGCACAATGAAGTTTTCCGCGCCAGAGATCTTCGACAATAACTACAGCGCCAAGGTGGACGTCTGGGCGCTGGGCGTCGTGATGTATGGCCTCGCAACAGGTCGGTTCCCGTTCAAGAACAAGGCGGAAGTCCGCTTCAAACGTATGTCCATCCCGCGAGCGGTCCACCCTCCCTTCGCAGATCTGATCGACAGGATGTTGACAAAGGACGAGGCCGCCAGACTGGATAGCGATCAGGCAATGAGACATCCCTATATGAGCGCTGACCGCGGAGCTTGGCTGGAGCCTTCGGTCCAAGCTACGCTGGTGCGGGGAGACAACACCTCTGGTGGAGAGAACGTGGAGCCGGTGGCCACGCCACGCTCTCACGCTGCGCGGGCCCTCTGCCGCGGCAAGGGCGCCGCCCCGCCGCCCAGAGAGGCCGGTGGCAGCCCAGAGAGCTCTGGCGACGCCGCCGCGCGATCGCTGAAGCTCGCCACCGCGCAGCTCCAGGCGCTCGCAGTCGCGCCCTCTGCGGCCACCACCAGCGCCGCGCCACCGCCGGCGGGCGGCGCAGGCCCTGCGCCGCCAGGCGCGCGGCTCGAGGGGCCCGCTCTGGCGAGCGGGGCGGAGCGGGCGAGGTCGCGGGCCGGCTGCGTGCCGCAGTGCCTGCTCGGCCTGGGGCTGGTGTGCAAGGCCTCGGCCAAGGCGGCCGCTGCGTCCGCAAAGCTCGTCGACTGATCCAGGGCAGGCATCAGTGGGCACCCTCCTCGCGCAGGGCTCATCAAGTTGGCCCCCTGCTCCCAGGGGTCCTGCCCTGCCAGCAGCTGCTGGCGCTGCCCCCCATGCTTGCCGCATTCGAGGACACCAGGGGTGCCGCAGTCGCCCCGGCGAGCGGGGCGGAGCGGGCGAGGGCGCGGGCCGGTTGCGGGCCACCATTCGGGCAAGGGGGTCTGCAAGAGCGGAGACATTTCTTAGAATTCGTTCGGTTTGCAGTCCAGCGCTGCCGCGAGGGTGTCTGACTCTGGACCAGAGATGTTCTACATCCGTGCTGGACGGCATCCCTTGTGCTCTACTGACAATGCAGTATCGGCGCGACGAATCATACGGAACAACCGTGAAGTCGGCGCGCGCATAGCCAATGTTTCGTAGGAATAGTTTGCAGGCGTGCCCTTGCCGAGCGCTGTTGTAGAAGCCGGTATCGATTTTTTACGCACAGTAGCGGCCGACGACGATGAAGTATGCATCGTCCGCGAGGCCTTGGGTTCCTTGCCTAAGTATTTATTCTTACATGCGTTCATTTATTGTGCGTTGCTGCTGCCCGACTTGACCCAAGGGTGGCGGGGCCAGAGAGCCAGAGCAATGCCGTGGCGACGAGGGCGCCGCAGGAGACCCACATGTGGAAAAAAAAACGTCCGTGTCAATACATTGCGTGTTGGCTCCACGTGTTGGCCCGCGTTTTGGCGAACGTAACGGTAAAGACCTGCGCTTGTAGTTTGCGTGTGTGTAGCTCCGTATCGATACGCTACGTGTTGCGTGTTGCGCATCGGGGCAGTTACAGCCCACCCGCATATTGAGGATGGGCAGCCTTCCCAAGGGTGCCCCTGCATCCTTGCCTCCTCGGTTCATCCTTTGCCACTTTTGCTGGCTGCGCCCCGCCCGCGACATGGGCCCCCCCAGGCCCTTGCATCCTTGTCGCGCGTCCTTGGGATACGGGTCGACTGCAGGGCCCCCTCCTCGCATTTCCCCTCAGAGCCACCGCGCGGCCTGCTGGGTTCGTGGGGCCCGTGCCTGCCGCCGCCTCGAGGAGGTGGCGGCTCCCTCCTCCGGCTGGGCTCCCGCGGCCCTCGGCCTGCCAGAGGTGTCCCCGTCGGACGAGGCCAGGACGAGGACCAGTCCGTTCCAGAAGGTTCCGGAACTCTCCCATAGCGTTCCTCCGGCACGCTCTGAGCAGCTTGCTTTGCTTTTGTTGTAGATTCGGGCAAGTGCATGGCGTTCGCCCCCTCCCTTCCCCTCGCCCCTCTTCAAACGAACTCTAGCGTGCAAGTGCTTTTCGACTTGCGTGACTTCCGCACGTGCACGTCGTTTGCGGCCTGCCCGCCTGTCCATGCAAGTACACATGCTGGGGTCCCAAAGGACACAGGCTCGAGAAGGCCGCAGCGCCCGATCCATCCTCCAGAGCCGCTAGATTTCAGAGATTGTCGATTAATCCTCGCCCGATGTTATCCTCGCCCTGGCTCCGTCTTGCCCTGTCCCAAGAGGGGGAAACGAAAGCACACCTCCGCCTTGGAGCCGGCTGGGGGTCTGTGGTGGCCCAGCATTGGTTCTGGCCAGCAGGAAGGAGGTGAAGTGGTTCGAGGTTCAGGGTTCGAGCAGGTCTCTCGGGGAGCGGTTTTCACGCCCCGTGGCCGTCCAAAACGGATCTTGGGTGAAAAATTACACCAGATGGATCCCCTGAGGGTCCGGGGACCGATTTTGAGCGGGTTTGCTGTATCCCCCCTCCTTGACAGATCTTCCTGGGGCCCATCCAGTTCAGACTCCCCAGCCGCCTCCAACCTCAACCCCTACCTGGCACCCCTTCCCCCCTGGGGCTGGGCCACCTGCAGAGCTTCGGCTCCCGACTGCGAGGATGTCTCGCCAAAAGGGCGCAGCAAGTATGCCCCAGCTCCACCTGGTCCCTCCCCTTTGGGGAGGAGTGCCAGGTGGGGGATGGGGGGTGCTCTTTTGCTCTCTGCCAGGGTGTCCCCACGGATTTCCTGGGGTTCCCAGGCCGCCTCCAGAGCGCCGCTCATGAGCCCCAGGGGGCCCAAAATGGTGCGAAAGGCCAGGGGCACCTTGGGTCAGGGACAATTCTGGCAACACCCAGCTCTCTGCTTTCGGCATTACTGCTTCGGGCGGGCCCCGGACTGGGATAAATCGCCAACAGCGTCCCAGAGCGCTCTCAGAAAGATCCTGAGCGCTCTGGGACGGCCGCGGCGCCCGATACATCCTCCAGAGTCGCGGGATCTCAGATAACCCCGATTGGTCCTGGTCAGATGTTGTCCCAGTCCTGGCGTCGTCTTGCGGGTGCCCGCGAGGAGGCCGCCCAGATCTGCAACACCGCGGGCCTGAACCGGGGGGAGCGGAGGATGAAGACGCTCAGCAGGAGCGCCGTCTCGGGCCTCCAGCCCTTGGGGCCCCTCGGCAGGTAGCGGTGGGGGTTCTGCCCGTGTTCGGCTGGACGAGCATGAGGAGGACGTATCGTCACCATTCCGCGATCACGGGCGCACCCTACCCCTGCAAGTCCGTCCGACGCTGAGGTATCGGACACCCCCGCTTGCCCTCAGTTGGCTGCGGGCCTCGTTCGAATTCTGAACCCCAGCCGGCGTTTCAGAAATCTGACCTGCACGGATCAGGTTTACATGTGTTTGCCCACATCAAGAAGCAAACGGGTCCTGGGGGAAATGGGTCTTGCGGTGGTTCGCCATGCTCGGTCCCTCAGGCGCCCTCCTGGGCCCAGGGACCGTCAAAAAGTGTTTCGGGATGAAGAGTTGGTCTGGAGGTGCGGCGCAGAGGTCCAAGGACCCGTTTGCCTCAGGACGCGTCTCGTTCATGTCCAGATGTCGGATTGGCCAGGCCGAGGTTCGGGTATGGGTCTAGAGGTGCGGATGGTTGGCGTGCGCCGTGCCGTGTTGCGCGAGGATGACGGCATGTTGAAGCAGAATTTGGTGTGGGTCGTCCCGCCTCGAGCCGCATGGCCAACACATGTTCGGAGGGGTTGGGCGGTGGATCTGCGAACATCCAACTTGAGCTTCTAGGGCCCAGGGGGCATGAAGAGGAGGAGAAGGCGAAGGGGGAGAAAACGGAGAAGGGGGTGTTCACGAGTAGGACATGGAAGAGGAGGAGAAAGAGGATGGGAGCAGGACCAGTGCAAACCCAAGGTGTATCAACGGTGTTGCACTAAACCCTCCCATCACGCTTCCTCTTCAGACAACCCTACGAGATGCATTGTGGAATATCTGCGCATTAGAGGAAACCCGTACGATAATCACCAATCGCACCAAACCGCCATTCTTAGGACTTCAGCACACCGGGTCAACGTGACGGTTGCGTCCTGATAACCCTACACCGCGCCAGAACACAGTTCTTGGGACTCCAACCCTGCGAAACTTTGAATGTGTCGCAAACTTTGAAGACGAGTGTGCGCTGCGCTAAGACGAGAGCCACATGTTTAAAAGGAGCCGAGTTCGATCCTTAGAACTGCTGCGAACTTGTAAGACGGATGTGCGCGGGGCTGGGGCGAGAGCCACTTTCTGCAAGCCAGCCGCCCTCCACCCATGAAACTGCTACCGTTGATCAAGACGAGTGTGCGCGGCGCTTAGGTGAGAGCCACAGTTTGAAAACCACTTGTACTCCATGCGTTATTCCGCTGCGTATTTCAAACGCAATGTGCGCGGCGCTCAGGCGAGATCCACAGTTTGAAAACGACCCGCGACCCGCCCTCCATCCGTGAAGCCATTGCACATTTTTAGCTTCATCACCTTGAGTGGTGGAAAGGTATCATGCGAAACGCCTGACCCGCCGTACCGCTACGTCGGAGGCTGCGACAGGGAGGAGTTGATTATAAAGACAAGGGAAGGCGGGGAAACCAGGCAGAGGAGGAGGAATAGGAGGAGGAGGAGGACGAGGAGGAGGAGGAGGAGCAGCCGAAGCATGAGCTCAAGGAGGAACCAAAGGGGGGCCGCAGGAGGAGCCAAAGGAGGAGGAAATGTATGTTGTTAGTTGTTGCGACGCCGTGCCCCGTTCCCGCTAGGGAGATCGGCGAGCGGCTGCAGGCGCTGGAGGGCTCGACGGCCGCGCCCGCGACGCCGATCCGGCCGCGCGCCTAAAGTCTGGCCTCTGCTGGCCTCCCCGTAAGTTTCGCTTCTGCCTCCTTTACCGTCAATGGACGAAACAACAATTGTATAAGCCATCCTGGCGAAGGGCAGGACCAGATGCAAGTCTGACGAAGGGAGGGGAAGCTCCCTGCCTGGCCACCAGACGTGTGAGGAGTGCCCCGACATGGGCTGGGAGACGCATGCGACCCCGCCACAAAACCCACAAGGGGGGCCACCAAAAGTTTGGCCTTCGCCTCCATCCCCGTATGTTTCGCCCCCGCCTCTCTTCCCCTTTGTGGATGAAAATCTGGATCAGATGAACTCTTCCGCCGCCGGGGACGCCCACCCCATGGAGGTTGGGAAAAACACCCCGACGTGCCACCGTAGAGGTATGAACTGTCCAGCTGCCCGGCGGCAGGCGTCCCTGACGGTTGAGCAAACTATGTTAGATTGCCCTTCCTCCAGTAATCCTCCCTTCCTCCGCCGCCGCCGTGAAGCAGGTGGGCTCGGAGAGAAACGGGGCCTGGAGGTTTCCCACCGCCCCCAGGGACTCCCGATGCCCTTCCCAGGACCTTGGAGCGTCAAAGAAGGGCTCGGAACGAGGAGCTGGTCCTGGGAGGGGCCTCGGGACGCAGGACCCGTTTCCCCTCAGGACCCGTTCCCGTACTGCCAGTTCCTTGCGCCCTGGTCGTACGACAAGGGCGGGGAGAGATGTGGAGGGGGGCGGGTGCAAGATCTGCTGCGTGCCGCTGGCATGGGGACCTCGCAGCCCAGCGCCTTTCTGGACACCTGGCCCTGGCCGACGTCGGCGCTGCGGAGGGCCAAGAAAACCAGCCACGTGAGCTGATTCGCTAGCTGCCCCTTTGCTACCCCCAGTTTCCGTCCGATCCGGCCATGTTTCCTCCAGCCCTGTTTCCTCCTTCCGCCTTCCACTCCACCTTACCTTGGCCCCCCAGTTCACCCACCCACCCTCCACACCGCCTGCCATCCCTCTGTCCCTCTCAGCTCTTCCTTCTCCCATGGCGACTTAGCGCGACGCCATCGTGAGCGTGGCGCTGACATGGGATGTGCTGCATGCAGTACGGCGCACGCAGGAGTGAAGCCACGCTCGTAGTTGTGCAGTACACGTGTGTCATGGCAAGTAAAGTATCAAATTCAGTTTTGTCAGCATCCACACATCGCACGCTTGCGTGTGATACGGCTGCGGCTGAGGCATGCCTGACCATCAGGAGACGTATGTTTCCGACTGCGGGAGTCACCCCACGAGGCCGCACGATTCGTGCACATTCCGAGTGTGCACATGCCAGGCATGAGGTCACAGACGGACGGCGCCCTACACATCAGAAGAAACAGGCCTGCCAGTGCCCCAGCGATCCTCGACGGTCCTGGGCAAGCCCGGAAAGTGTAATGTTTGACGAGGCATTGGGATCTCTTCCAGCAAGAACCTTGTACAGTCGGACCGAGGTATCAGATCCGGGTCGGTTCGGGGAGGATGCCCTAGTGTTCTTCGTGCTTGTTGGATGCTCTGGTGCATCCTGGGGGGGTACCGGGTACCCTCTGATGATTTGTTGGTTTGGGACGACGGAGGGTCTCATGTTCTTGAGGGACGTTCTTCGGTCCTGGGTCCGACTGGCACCGTACGCTCCGCAAGGCCCGGATGGTGTCCCCAGCGGTGGTCGCTCGCTCGCTCGTTCAGTCGCACGCGCGGCACTGTTCCGTCCGCCCGCCGCGCGGGCCCCTCCCTCCGCGCCGCCCGAGGTGACGGCCGTCCAGGGCGATGCCCCGCGCGGCTGACGCGTCCAGCCTGCGACGGCGCCAAGCTGATCGAGTCGGACGACAAGGGAGGCCCTGAGATCCTGGCGACACAATTTTTTCGAGCCGGGCGTCTTCGCCCAGTTTCGTGCCCCGGGGCCCTCACAGATGGATCCGGCTCGAAAAATGGTGCAGAAAGATGGGCTCCGGGCCTCCAGTCGTGATTTCTCATGATATCTTACTTTTTCCTTGACGTCGGATCTCAGGGAAGGGAGTGGGGGTGGGGTCGGAAATTTGATGCGAGCATTTGGTGTCTAGCCGATTGGGCGATATCGAGGGCAGCAGCACAGGGGGCCACCACCAGGTGCACGTCGAAGACGAGCACAATGAGCGGAGGAGTGGGGAATGGGGGGCCGACCCTGCGCGCAAGCGGCGAGGTCGGAACCACCCCCACCCCCGCTGTAATTACCCTCCTCCGCTTCCGGACGACCTCCTCACCCCGGGGGGGGCGATGGCCGTGGCGATGATCTCCAGCAGCAGCTTGCTGTCGTCGCCCGAGAGGTCGTGGGCGCCCGCCGCCTGGACGAGGGCGCGGGTGTCGTCGGGAGGGACCCCCAGCCGCGAGGCCAGGGCCGCCCTCCGCAACAACCGCGTGGCCTCGCCGCGGGACGCCAGCGCTGCCAACACTGGGTCCGCCGCGATCGAAACCGCGCTAGTCTCCTCCGCGGGCACCGCCGCCGCCTCAACGACCACCGCCGCGCCAGGGGCGTCGGCCCACTCGTCGTCGATGCTGGAGGCGTTGGCGTGCGCTCCAGCACCGACCTCCCTCCCGTCCACCACCATGTGGGCAGCGCCATCAGCAGCGGGCCCGCCACGTCGCGCGCGGCGGCGGCGGCGCCTCCCGGGCGCGGCAGCGCCTGCAGGAGGCTCGGCCGCCGCGGGCGCGGCAGGACCTGCGGCCGCCTCCCCACGTGGCGGTGGCGTTGCGGTAGGCGGGCGAAGCCGCGCAGCCTTGAGCTCCGCCACCGCCGCGCGGCAGGTCCCCTCAGCGGCGCGCAGCAGGCGGCAAGCCGCTGCCGTGTGCCGCGAGAGGTCCGCCGCCGCGTGAATCGCCAGCGCCGCCCCACGGGCAGCAGCAAGCGCATTGGGCAGCTCGCGTTATACCTTCGGCGCCATCCGCTCCAGGGACCGAGGCGGCGCGAGCGCGGCGCTGCGGCAGGGCTTGGGAATGGGCAAGGTGGCTTGAGCCAAAACTGCTACGCAAAAAGAACAGCTGGTGTCGTCCCCGCCGGGAATGCCAGCTGCAGGACCTCATTCGCGACCCCCCCCACCCCCTGGCTACCCGCCCCTGTGCGTCCGACCCGAGCTGCCCTTCCTCCCGCCATTTTGCTCGCTGTCGGCTCGTGCGCGGCGGGGCCGGCCCCCTCCGCGTGCCGAGCCGGCACGCAGCTCCCAGAGTGAGTGTGCAGGCGCCGGCCGGCTGCTCGGCGCGCGGGGTGCGAGGCGGTCGGCTTCCTACCTGACGTCTGCCTCGCGCCTCCTTTGCCGCGCGCCGCGGCGGCGGGAGTTTCAACGGCAGGCCTGGCCAGCTGACGAGGGCGATGACGACAGTTCAGGAGGGGGATCGGCTCAAGGGGGGATGATGTCCAGGGGCAACGTTAGGGTGGAACAGGCTCAGGGGGGGACGCATCGATCTCCAATCGCCCGTTCATCGCCGTTCGGGGCCCGATAGCCCACCCCGCCCAGGAACGTGCGTATTTGCGATCGAGGGCCTATCGCCGATCAATCGGCGATGCATTGCCGAGTCCGGCTCGATATTTTCTCCCCTGAGCCGCCCCCCCTAGTATTCCTTCGCCCGAATGGCCTTTTGTCCAGGCCCATGGGGATCCCCCCAGCACTGGCCTGCGGATGTGGATTTGGATCCTGTGCGGCTCCCCGACGCCGTGCACCAAAGGTCACCCTTGCCTAGGATCGCGCTTGCGAGCAGGCGAGGTTGGGCGGCGCTGTTGCAAAGTCAGCTGGGACGAGCGCGCGGACATTTGCGATTCGCACGTAAGCTGCCCGCGTATGGTCGCGCATGCCCATCTTTCTCCACGCGGTGTGCCAGGCTGGCACCCCGCGTGCACAGCCACCGCGTAAGATTGCCATGTCCTCTTGCGTGGTGACCACCCCGAACTTCACAGTAAAAGAGGGGGTGTCTGATTTGGGCCGTCTTGGAGGGTTCCAGGGGGTCTTGGCTCGACCGCCCTTTCATTGCTGGCTTGCGGGGGCGCTGAGGTGGCTCGTCTGGGAGGCTCATGGCCCCCACCCCTTCATCACGAAATTCAGAGCACGGTCGGACCGAGGTGCACGATCGAGGTCGGTTCGGGGAGGGTACCCTAATGCTCTTCGTGATTGTTGGGTGTTCTTGCACATCCTGGGGGAGGGTACCCTCGAATGCTCTTCGTTTTGACCGGCGGAGGGTCTCACGATCTTGAAATAAGTTATTATGTCGTAGGTCTGGCCGTACCCTTTCGCTAGCGCCGCCAGCCCTTCGCACACGACGTCTCCAGAGCCAGGCCCACCAGTCCACACCGCGAGGGCCCCCCGGGAGAGGCCCACGGCGGGACAAGACTCGCCCTCCCGAGTTTGCCTGTTTTCACGCCTCGCGCCCTCGTCTTAGCCTTTCTCTCGTGCGCGCCGGACAATTTGCCTATCTGTTGCCCCGATTAGCCCCACGCTGGTGCGGGTTGCCTCTGCCTCGCCGCCGACGAGAAATGTTTTCACGCTTCCACTGGAGGCCTGTCCTGATTTGGCTCGGCGGCGAGCCCAGGGGGGAATGAAGAGGGGGCGGGCCTCCTCAGAAGGCTCGGATGGCCTTGGGCCTTCTGAGGAGGTCTTCTGAGCCTTCCCCGAAGACGGAGACGGCTTCACGCAGACGGCTTCTCAGAAGGCCGGAGGGTTTCCGAGAAGCTCCGCCTATTTCTGAGAAGGTTTGCCCCCCCTCACTTCCCCCCCGTGCGCACCGCCAATTTGCGGACTCTCGATCCCTGCACCTGCGCCGCGTCGATCAGTTCGCAGTCGCCGCCGTTTTGCAGTCTGCGTCGGGCTCTGGCTGTTGCGGAGCGCTCTTCTGCTCCTCGAGCTTCTCGAGGGCGGCCCAACAGTTCTCGCCCCCGATCCCCGCATTCCGCCTGAAAAGCCAGGCCGTTCAGAAAAGGGTGGAAATCTTTGGCTGGGGTGCACGCGCAGGGGGGCTATTCGGACGCACCCCCGAGGATGGACGCCCCCGCGTCGTATATCCCCGCGTTTGGCTCACATGTTCTGTTCAAGTTGGGAACCTACGGAGTCGGGGATTGGGGTCGCCATACCCCCCGTTACAACTTGGGGCCGAGAAGGGGCGGCCAAACTGGCCAATGGCGGTGCGCGGTCCCTGGCAGTCCCGACCCTTTCCCCGGGGCCGGTTTTCATCCCGGGTCAGTTTCTTTCGGTCCTGTGGCCTTGCGAGGGCCCCTGGAGGCCGAAAACTGCAGAGAACTTCCCGTCCTGATTTTGGTTCACGACGCGAGGATGTCAGGGCAATGCAGCGGGGGACGAGGCCCCTCTGCAGGCGTGTCGGCGTGGGCTCCACGCCTCCGAAGAGATACCAGAAGTATGATGGCCCCAGTTCGGTTCGGTTCGGCTTCGTTTGGCGTGCCTGTTCGGTTCGGCCGGCTGGGTCCGAAGTTGGTGCGGTTCGGTTCGATTCGGTCAGTTCGGGCCGCGGACCGGTCTGGTTCGGCCGGTTCGGTTCTGCTCCTTGTTCAGTCGAGAGTCGAAACGGATGGCAAGGTCGGGCAAGGTTCCTAAGGGTGCCCTTGCATCCTTGCCTCGTCTGTCGATCGAAAACCAACTTTCGACGGCCAGCCCCGCTTGCAAAGCTTCGACACGAGCGTCCCAGGGGCTGCCATGCTCATCGCGCATCCTTGCCATCACTTCTGCCCATCCTCGGTCTTCGGGTCGGTCCGCGGCCATCGTGCAGAGGAGGCGCGGTCCAGAGGAGCCTCCATGCGGGCTCGCGGGCAGCCCCGTCGAGGGCTGGGCCTCGGGACCGGGCGTTGCCCTGACCTCCCTGCCGGACCCCCATCTCCCAGGCGTGTGTGGCGTCTTGGGAGAATCGAGCGGGGCCGGTGGCCCAAGGTGCTCCGCAGGGCTGAGCCAATGGTTGACGTCCGAGGCGCTCGAAGGGGCATCCTGGCCTTGCGTCTCTGCTGTGGCTTTTGACCTCGATTCGTCTTGTTTCGGCTTCGCATTGCGATACGTCTTGCTTTGCCCCCGGGGCCCCCTCTTCATCGTGGTGGCTCCTGCGTGCCGCCGAGGGGCACTGGAGTTTTAGGGAGGAGCAGCAGGAGGAGGAGGAGGAGGAGGAGGTGGCGCCCGATCCTTGAGGCGGGGGGGGGGGCACGTAAGGGTGACCTGTCGCCAGTGACCTTTGGTGCGGGCCGAATGGGGCTGGTAAGGCCTCGGGTTGCGCGCAGACAGCCTCCCGAAGTATTCCCGGCTGGCCTCGACAGGCTCCCCGCGTAGTGCCGGCTGGCCTCAACAGGCCCCCCGAATGGTCCGGGACGGTCTCAACAGCTTGGCGCCGTCGCTCGCGGCGCTCCGCGCCTCAGGGCTGAGGTGTTGGGACCGTCCTGGACTACTCGGGGGCCTTGTTGAGGCCAGCTGGGACTACATGGGTCGGGCAGTGTGTGCGCAACCCGCCTTTTCAAATGGGGCCCCCCGATTGTTGTTTGCGATGCGAGTTAGCAGCGGCTTGCGCGCCCGGGGCTGTCTCCCCCAGCGCCTCCCCTACGCCGCGCACCTTCGGCCACGCATATAAACAAGGGGGGCGATTAATGGGGGGCAGCGGGGGTTGCAGAAAAGGAGCCCTGTGGGGCCCCTACAGGGGCCCTCTAGGGCCCCAGAGGGGCCTTTTAGGGCCCTAGTAGAGCACCTGTCTTCCCCCCACATTCATCGCTCCCGATTATTTCGCGCCCAAGCACCAGATGTCACTCTTGCCTAGGGGCGTCTTTGCGCATATCTTAGGGGGGGGGGCGGGCGAGGCACGCCAGGTCTAGGCAGCGGAGGCCTGGCAACGTGCGCGCGCCACTGTGGTATTTGGGAGGCGGTCGGGGGTCTGGCCGGGAGGCGCCACTCTAAGCCAGAAGTGCTGGGCTGGTGCGCGGAGGGAGGGGCACCATCACCACCAGGCTGCCAGGGGTGCCGGCTCCAGAGAGGAGAAGGTCCACGGCGCCTCCCCGAGCTGGGTCCGGGGGGCGCCTCGAGCTGGGGACGGGGGACGTCTCGAGCGTGGAAGGGTGGACGGGGACCACGCCGCGGGGGGGCGGGGGCGGTGAGACGGTGATGCTTCTCTCGGTCTGGGTGCTGACACGTGACGTCTGGAAGTCTTACGTCGCGTCTAATCGTTTTTGTTGTAAGTTTGTCAGTTGGATCTGAGCATGGCTTCTAGATTTTCCCGCCGAGGCTATGCCCCCGGCGACTCTGAGGAGCGCGGCACGCTTCGAGAAAGCTGCGACGTTGGCAGCCAGGCGCAGCCAGAGAAAGGCACAAGCTACACGGTCCCTCTGCTTCTTCTCTGCTTGCGGAGGGCTTGCCGAGGCAGCACGAGCAGAGACGAGCCTATGGCCCGCCTGCACACCGCGCGCGCGAGGTTAAAACCCGCCTGGGGCTTCGCGGCCTGGGCCTGGGAGCTGTCTCTCTCGGGGGCGGCGGCACGGGAGCGCGAAGAGGATCGCGCTCAGCGCGGCGCGGGCGCGGCGCGGAGCGCGGAAGCCCGGCGACATGCAGGCATTGCGCGCGATCGTGAAGAGACTCTTAGGCGCGCGCCTTGTGCCACACCGCCGACCCCTTTGGGGACTGAGGGCATATTGGGCGCCCTGTGGGGCCTTCTTGGAGCTCTTTTAAGTATCGAATGACCTGCGGCACATCCCGCCACCGTGCTGGGGCTGCGTGTCGGAAGCCGCGCGAATCGCAGGTAAGGTCTGCAGGCATTGCGCGCCATCGTGAAAAGATTTCCAATCGCTCGCCCAGCCCATCGTTTGTCCAGAACACTCCCGGGCAGGCTGCCCTGGCTCCTATGGGCCCTGCGCTTGCGCACGAAACTGTAACCGAGAGGCTGGCCAGGCATCTTCCCAGGATCTTGGCAGGTGACCCAGGCTTCACCACCTACTTCATCTTTCGAGTAGGATTGTCGTCGAATCTACAAACAAATACGTATAATGTCCGTCGATCTGCGAACATTCCATGTATTCATTTTTTGGAAAGTCAGGCGTGGGGCAAAACAATCATATAGTCGATCCCCTGCCCGACACTTCCTCCTCACAGCCCTGACCGTCGATGTCGCCGCCACTCTCGTCGCCCCCGCTGGCGGCGCCGCCGCCGCCGCAGCTGAGGTGCTCCGCGACCCATGCGGCAATGGCGTGCGGGAGCCGTGCTGGGGACCCCCCCTCCCCCTCGAGGGCCCGACGTCCGACGATCTATGTGATCTTGTCAATCCGCGGCCCCAGAGCTCCCCAGGAGGCAGCCTGGCGTGCTGGACCCTGTTCTGATGGTCCTATGGGGCCCGATGACGCGCCATACAGTGGGGCCGCGTATCGAGAAAGCTTCTGTTTTTAGTCAGGGCCCCCCCGGGATTTCTTCGCTTCGCGCGCTGCGCGGTGACCTCCCGCGTCGGTTACAGAACCTGCTGCGTTCAGGATGCTCTGGGCTGCCCCCGCAGTCGCACCTGGCGCGCGGGTCTTCGGGGCCGGGTTCTTTGCGAGGGTTCCTTGCGGCCGTGTCCGCACCGTAGAGGTCGCAATCGAGGCCCTGGTGGGCCAGCGGCCGCATTACAGTCGACCCGCACGGTAAGGATGGGCAGCCTTCCCAAGGGTACCCTTGCATCCTTCCCTCCTCGGTCCATCCTTGGCCACTTTTGTTGGCCGTGCCCCGCTCGAAAAGCTTCGAAGCGGGCGCCCAAGGCCCTTGCATCCCTGTCGCGCATCTGTATGATACGGGTCGACTTTACGCAACGATTCCGCCGGTCAGCAATAGCAGTCAGATCGTCGGAGATCTGGCCACGCGGCAGCGGGCGCTGATGGCCCGCGGCCCCCGCGCGGCGGGCGGGCGCCCCCGTCGCTCCTGGCGAGGCGTCGCCCTCGGCGGCTCTGGCGGCTCGTCTCCGTCGTCGCTGCTGCGGGCGCCTCTGGCCGCCGGCGTCTTGGCTTCTGCGGGTCGGGGGCCCCCGGAAGTCCCGAGCCCTCGCCCCAAATCGGACGAGGAACAGGTACCCATACCGAATGGCCTTTCAGCCGGTGGCTTGCTTCGCTCGCCTTGCCGCACGAACGCGGCAGCGGCGACGAGGCCTCGCGAGAGTGACCCCTCCCAGGGCGCGCTTCGAGCGGCCTCTGGGAAAGCCTGGAATACCTTGTGGAAGTTTCGATCGACTAAGCGTTGCTCCACCCGTACCCTTCCCTCGCTTTCGCCTTGATGGGCCTCCTGGGAGGCCCTCGCCGCCACCGCCAGATTCCCCTCGAAATCCTGGTCCGAACGCGCCCCGGGAGAACTCCGGGGAGTGACGGTATCGGTATACCACGTGGTTCCGCAGCACGGGGCCAGCTTCTGAGGAGCCAGGCCCGGCGCACGAGAAGCCGCTGCTCGTGCCGAGCCGCGGTCTGACCCTGAGCTCCAGGCGCTGCTGCCCTGCCGCATGCGGGCGTCTTCGCCCAGCATCGGGCCACGGGGCCCTCAGAGGCCAGGGTCCTGGCCAGGACGCCAGGACGTTGCACGATCGTCGCAGCTTCTCGCGACGCGGGGTCCGTGCAGTGGAGGCCCATGCCAGGAAGCACCCTGCTTGCCTCCAGGGTGCAATGGGTGTCTTGGGTTTCGACGTTTTTTTCTATGGAAGGGCGTGACGTTCCCGCAAAGATCAATGACCAACCTGGGGTCTCAGGGTTAGGTTTAAGTCGGGCGTGTCCCTCTACAGGAGGGACAGTCAAGAAGAGTCAAAAGATTGTCTGAGGACGATGTTGTTGACTGACTCTTTTTTGAATCTGTCTTGACTGTTTTGCATTCTTCGCCCAACATGCCCCTACAGGAGGGCATGCCCGACCTAAGGTTTGGTTTCTTCTGCAGGGTTTCTCGTGGGCTGGCCTCCGCTGTAGCCATTTTGGCTCAATAGCCAGGGCTGGAGCCCGCAGGCCCGCGGCGCCCCTCCCCGCGGGCGCGAGAGCCGCCGCCGCGCGGCCTCTTCTCGCGCGCGCGCGCGGCCCCCCTCGCGCGCGCTGCGGCCATGGGGCGCGGCATGATGCAGATCAACCCCATGAAGGATCAGCAGAAGAGGAGCGGGCCGCGCGGGAGGGGAAACCCTGAGATATCCGACGCTCCAACAAAAATTGGAGCAGGCGGTCTGAGGCCGTTTTCGGCCCCTGACGGTCCTCGCCGGGCTTCGGGAGTGAAAAAAACACTCAGGACGAAAACCAGCCCTAGAGAAGTGGTCCGGACCTCCGTGGCCCCCGCATCGAGAAAATTGGAGCAGCTGGATGCCTCGGAATGGAGTTGCGACATCTGCTGCATGCAGCTGGTTTCCGCCCCGCCGCCGTGCGCACTCCTGGATGCGCGGGCGTTTTCCGGGCGCCAGGGGGCGCCAGGAAAACCAGCCACGTGAGCTGATTCTTTACCCTGCCCTCTGTTATCCTGCCCCTTCGCCCCCCCACCCCCGAGAGGAACAAGCGGCAACAAGAGAAGGAGGAGGAGATGGAGAAGAAGCGGGAGCTGCTGAAGCAGGAGCCCGCCGAGACACGCCGAAGAAAGCCCAAGGCGAACAAGTCGGCGGACAACCTCTCCAAGGGCATCGGGGCGTTCTTTGTCTTCCTCGCGGTCGTGCTCCTGGGCCTGTGCGTGCCCTACGACTCCGGGGAAGCCACTGCCCCTGGCGCCAACGCCACGAACTCGACCGGCCCCGGTGCGGGGAAGTGAGGAGCGCGTGCCCCCGCCGCGCGCCGCGCCTCGGCAGGCCCTGCTGCTGGGGAGAGGGCGGCGGCGGCGGGCGGCGTCTGCGCGCACAGGCGGCCCAGACGGCTCGGGGAGGATCCGGGGCAACGGTAGGGGGGTGGGGGGGGGCCAGGGGGGAGGGGGGCGCATCGATCCCCAATCGACAATGGACTGCCGAGAGGGGCCCGACATCCCTGACCTGCCCAGGAGCGTGCGGATTCCCTGTCGGGGGCCTCTCGCCGATCTATCGGCGACGTATCGCCGATTCCAGGTCGATGCATCCCCCCTTACCAGGCGATCGCAAACATGGATCAAGGGGGCGTGGATTTGCGACGGGTCCCGTTTCCATGGGAAATCGCGGATTTCCGCCGCCGCATTTTGGGGAGGGCACCTCCCGATCCATGGATGTGGCGACCGCGCGCCAAATTCATGGATCGCTAATCCATGTTTGCGCGCCCCCGACCCTGAGTCAGTCCCTCCCTTTATCGTTGCCGCTCAGAGGAGGGGCGCCGCAACAGGGGGAGGAGGCCGCGGTCAGGGTCCGTCCGCGGCGCCGGGCGCCGTAGGCTAGAGCGCTGGCCAGCGCCAGCGCCAGCGGCCTCAGGATCCGCCGCTGCGCGCGAGGAGAACAAACATAGCTACGACGTCGGAGCTCAGGGAAAGCCGAGAACGGCGAGAATCCTCCGCCCTGATTTTCTACGTAGACGCTTCGCATGACCCCACCAGCCCATCCAGAAGCGATGCCCAGAGGAGTTGCCTCACACCCCAAGAGGGGGAGGATGGAGGAGAAATCGGAAGGGGGAGGAAGTAGGAGGGAAGAAGAGGAATAGGTGGATTCGGCAGAGGAAGAGGAGGAGGTGGAGAAGGAGTGGGAGGAGGAGGGCGAGCAGAAAGGCAAGGGGCCTCTGGTATGCCTCTCGCAAGCTTTTCGGACCTTTCTTGAGAGCTTCTTGGAGTACTCTTGGGGCCCTTTCCGGGGGGCCCTTGGCGGACCTGGGGGCCTCTTGGAGCGTCCTGGGTGCATCGGGAAAGTTTTTTGGGGCCTCTTAGGGGTCTCGTGGGAGCCTCTTGGGGGCCGCTTGAAGCCTCCTGGGCGCCTCTTGGGGCCTTTCGGGTCATTCTTCGGAGCCCTGGGGGCCATGTTGGGGCCATCTTAGATGAGCTCTATCAAAGAAAGAGGGGGGGTAACCAGGAGCCCCCTTGCAGCTCAGCGCGCTTGGAGCGCTCCTGGGCGCGCTGGGGGCCGTCTGGGGACCCTCTTGGGCTCCTTGTGGGGCTCTCTTGGGCCGTCTTGGAGCCACCTTGAGTCCTCGGAGGGCCGTCGAAAGGGAAAAGGCGAGAAGGCAACAAACACCTTGATTTGTTTCCGGTTGTTGGATGGGGCTGGCCTTTTGGTGACTTTCTTGAGAGGCTCCATGGCCACTTGGAGGCGTCTTGGGATGGTCTTGGGACCTCCTGGAGCATGTTGAAAGACATCTTGAGCCATTTTGGAGGTCATCTTCGGCTCTCTGAGGCCCTCTTGGAGACATCTCGGGTCAAAACATATCTTCTGGCACTCCGCAGCCCCTCCACTCCAGAACCAGGGGAGGGGGGAGGGGGGAGGGTGAGGGGTCACGCTACCCCAAGCCGCAAGCCGTGTCGCTCACTCCCACCAGCCCTCCCACTACATAAGTAGCATCCGAGTCTCAGCTCAGGCAGTGGCCGCCACCGACAACCATCGGGAACCAATGCAGACGCCAGGCAGGTGCGCGATGCCCGCGAAGTGCGCCGCACGCGCTAGGCGCGCCACGTGCACCAGGTGCGCCACATCGGGCAAAACGTCGACTGCCTCAGTCCCTGTCAAAGCCATTCAACATGACAGCGGGTTTTCGAGCATTGTGTATCGTGTGTGTGTGTGTGTGCGCACCCGCAATCACTTTGCATTTGTTTTGGACAGGAGTAGGCTTGTTGACAGCAGGCGACAATGCCGCCCCACCCGCCGTCCTCGCAAAGTGAACGTTGTTTTTTGCTGAAAGGGGTTATGAGCCTGCACGTAGCATGCAATATGGCGGCCCCCCCGCCGTCCTTGTCAAAAACCATTGCAAAGTGATTGCACGGCGTCCGTGCATGATCCAGATGTTGGTGCAATCTGTATGTTGCATTGTTTCTGTTGCAAGGGATGGGTGGGGGCAGTGGCATTTCGTAAAAAGCAGGCAGTATGCTGGCACCGTCGCCGTCTCTGCCGCAAACCAGCGCAAAGTGACCGCTGTGCGCCCGCGCGGGATCAGATCTTCGTGCAAAGAGTGCTTTGTGGTGTTCTGCTGTGCAGGGGATGGTAGGGGGCGTTGGCATTGCACACAGCAGGCAGCATGCCAGCACCCCCACCGTCTCTCTAAAAACCAGAGAATGTGATCGCGGAGAGGGGAGAAGAGGAACAGCAAGCCTCAAACCACTCACGCCCACAGGGATGGTGGGATTCCTCCCAAAGCGTCGGGGGCCTGGCGTCGCTACGAGGAAAATACTGGAGGCCTCACGCGGCGCGCAATAGCTGTATCATCTAGTCCACACGCCCGCTCCGTAAGATATTGGTCGACGTTCGCGCGGCGATGCTCCAAGGTATCTCAGACGTGGGTCCGTTGCAAATCCGTTGCGGATCACGTAACTGAGGTCTCAAATTGCCGCGCGACGCTTCCAGAATGCTCCTCCTAAGGGTCGCGGGGCTGGCCCGGCCCGGTGCAGGAGGTGCCTCCTCTGGCGACTACAGCAGGTATGGTTACGCCAGGGTGTGGTTTGCGATCGGCACCGTTGGGACTACAGTCAAGACGCTGAAATAAGGAACAGGTTGGGTTCGGAAGGTACTCGATGTTCCTTAGGCCCTTCAATGGCTGTTCCTCCAGCCCTCCTCGTGAGCGAGGGCGGTTTGGGGGCCTGAACTGGACTTCGTTCCTGATTCAGCATTCCTTCTTTCAGGGGCCCGACTGTAAGGGTCGCCACCTTGCGCCAAAGGTCTGATGAGCTCTCGTCGGGGCTCGGCAGAGATCTCCGTCGAGGTCCTCCCCCGCCCCCCTCAGGCGCGGGCTGCACACCTCTAGACTCTAGGCCCCCCGGATGGGGTCAGAGCAGATGGGGTCGGAGGATCGCGACGCATCGCCGATGCATCGGCGACGCCGGCGTGGAGACAGTCGGGCTCCACATCGAGCCGTATCGCCGAGGTATCGGCGTTGCGGCTCGATCCTCCGACCCCATTTGCGGGGCGGGCTCAGGGCAGGAGGAAGGGAGGAGGGGGAGGGGGATTCATGCTTCCTGCGACCGCTTGCGAACTCGACCCCTGCGGGTCCAATCGACGCTGGAGTAAACTCAGGCCGTTTTTGTTCAGAAATTTGACCTTCCCGAGAAGTGTTCACGTGTGATAGTGCGAGTTAATTTTCTCATTAAAGAGGTTTGTTGGAGGAAGGGCATGACACACTCCAGAGCTCCAGCGACACTTTTCCCAAAGCTCCAGAGACAAGACCCCAGAGCTTCTGAGCTCCGGATGCATATCCCAAGCTTGAGCGTGGGGAGGTGTATGAAGCGGCGCTGCTTGAAGTCGCCAGGCCGGTGCCTGGGTGCTTCGTGAGCGAAGCGGTCAGAACGAGGGCCGCCTTCGTCGTCTGCTCGTCGACCGCTATGAGGTTACTAATCACCGAGCGGCCAGGCATCAAGCTCTACTGTGCTCGTGAGACTCAGTGGGCTGCGCGCATTTCTGGATGGAGCCTCGTTGCGCTGGTCAGGATCAGCTGTCCCCGTTGGCAGTGACGAGGAGGCGCGTTGCGTTGGGCTCGCATCCCAGCCATCCCTACGTGTGATCTGAAGCCATCCCTACGTGAGATCTGATACATAGTTCGGTTTGGATCTCTGCTTGTCCCCTTTGGCTCCTCTCCTCCACGCTCCTTCTTGCTCCTACTCCCGTCGTGGTAGACATGCAAGACTTGTCTTTACCATACGCGTCACCGCATGGGACCCATCTCTTCCATCATCCGCTTCGTCGCATGGGATTCCCTTTGTTTGTGCTGTGCTTTCCTCCATTTGCCGACGTCGTTCGACGCCTTATCATACAAGTGGTTGGTGTTCGACCATCGGGGATGCACAGACGACGCCACTGTCTCATTTCCCCACGCTTGGCTCTTCTTTCATTCCCGTCCTGCCCCTCACGTCTCTGCCAGGCGCGCTTGCACGTCTTGCAGGCTTCGGCCGCGGCCTTCCCACGCGCCCGCCGGCCGCGCGCGTCGGGTCCTCCTCCTCCTCCTCCTCTTCCTCCTCCTCCTCCTCCCTGCTCTGCGGATGCCCCCCTGTCTGTATCTTCTCCTGCGTTGGATCTGCTCCGCTGACGCGTGCCCACTGCTGGCCGACCGCCTCGGGCTGCGTCCGCCGCCGCTCATCCAGCACTGTCCCCTGGGCGCGGGGCCGCGACCCCCCCTTGCACGGGGGCCCCCGCCGCGGCCATCTCGGAAGCCCCCAGGGTTCCGGGGGAACCCGAGAGCGCTCCAGGATCATTGCCAGGTGCTCTCCAGCCGGCCAGAGGCATCCCCAGGACACTCGCGAGACAGCCCCGAATGGCTCCAAGACGCCCTCGGCGACCGCCCACGAGGTCCCCAGGAGGGCCCCAGAGAGTCCCCACAGGCCCACCTGGAGTCCCTTACGAACGAATTTGTGTATATCATCTGTATAAATCTAGTCATCTATCCATGGGTGCATATACCCATGAATCTGCATGTCTGTCGGTCGGTCTGTATGTATGTACACATGTATGTATGCAAGTATGAATGAATGGATGTACGCATGTATGTATGTCTGTCTGCCTGTCTGTATGTATGTATGCATGCATGCATGTATGTATGTATGGTTGCATGCATGTTCGTTTGTATGTAATCAGTCATGTATTTATGCATGGGTGAGTGTATGTATGTATGCATGCATGCATGCATGTATGTATGTATGTATGTATGTATGTATGTATGTATGTATGT